TTAATGTAGTCCAATTTATCAACCTTTTTCTCATGTTTAGTTTTGTGTCCTATTTAGGATATCTGTGCTTTGTCTGAAACCATGAAATTGTCTTCTACGCTATCTTCTAGAAGTTCAACTGTTTTATATTCCACATTCGGATCTGTGATCATTCCGGAATTTATTTCTGTAGATAATGTGAGGTTGGGTCTAGATTAAATTATTTCCAGGGGTGTCTGGGGGCTCAGTCAGTTAAGCATCTGCCTTCAGCTCAGGTCATGATCTTAGGGTCCTGGGATCGAGCCCCACATCGAGCCCCGAGTAGGGAGCCTGCTTCTCCCTCTGTCTCTGCCCCTCCCCCTGCTTGTGCTCTTTCTCAAATAAATATTTTTTTAATTAAAAAAATAAATGATTTCCATATGGATATGCAATTCACCCTGAACCATTTATTGAAAATTACATCCCCTACCTACTAAGCTACAGTGCCACCTTTACTATAAATCAAATGCTCACATATATGTGGGTCTGTTTCTAGACTCTGTTGCATTAGCCAACATGTCTATCCTTACACCAATACCACAATGTTTTAGTTACATAAAATTCTAATAAGACTGGCTATTTGTTACTGTAAGTCTTCCAACTTTGTTTTTCTTCCTCAAGATTGCCCTGGCTCTTCTTAGGGCTTTGGAATTCCATATACATTTTAGAATTAGCTTAACAGTGTCCACCAAAAAAAAAAAAATGGTTCTATAGATCAATTGGGAGAGTTGACATCTTTACCATATGGTCTCCAATCCATGAACATGATCTAATCCTTCCTCGTATTTAGGTCTTCTCTAATATATTTCACTCATGTTGTATAGTTTTATGTGCAGAGATCCTAAGGGGGAAGAGGTCATAAGAACCTCCAATTTGTAGCCAAGTCAGGCAGAAGTTGTGGGTAACCTGGGTACCTACTACTTGCAGTTGGCATGTGAAAAGAAGTAGCAGTCTTCAGGGATTGAGCCCTTAACCTGTGAGATCTGAGACTATGTTCAGGTAGACAGTGTCAGAATTAAATTATTGGACATCCAGCTAGTGCCACAGAATTGCTTGCTGTCAGAAAAATCCCTACACATTTGGTGATCAGAAGTGTCAGAAGGGGAGTATTCTGTGTGAATGGTAAAGAAGGCAAACAGAAGGAATTACTGGGGTTTTCCTTACACAGATGTTAATTTGCTTTTTTCACTCTCATTTTCTTATGAGTATACAGAGTTTTCCAAGAGCGACATGATGTGTGATACACAGCAACAGACTGAGTGCAGAATCAGGTATGAGAATCCAGTTATCTTCTATTCAGCCAGACATTAAAGAAATTTGCAAAAATGTAAAACAATGCCACTCCACTCACAAATGTTTTGGAAAATATAGTGATTTTCATGACAACACTGTTATTTGTATTAGTATGCAAAGGTTGTTTACTGTTATTTCAAAATTAATAAATATTTAATTTTTCTAACTTTAATCCCGATATAGAAAATACCAATAGATACAACTCACCTAAGTGAAAGTTTTTGGGGAGTTCTCAAAAAGTGTAAGAGTGAAAGGGGTCCTGAAACCAAAGAGTTTGAGCACTGATGTTTTAGAGTCATCGTCAGCGCTTAGTTGGGTCACGCTCCCCTGCCGGTCAGTAAGGGCTATCCTGTGCGCCCTCACCTGCCAGCAGTGCCCCACACTGGAGACTGGAGGAACTGCAGGGCTTCACCCGCTTGTGGTCCTAATACCTACTCATTAGGATGTACCTTATCTTCAGAGGTCTGAGCATCAGCCACGCAGCTCCCCCTTCTCTAAGTCCTGTAATACCACCTCTTTGTTTTGTCCTCCCAGCTCTAGGAGTAGGAGTGGAGTTACCTTAGTCTTTACCTTTCGCTCTTAACAGGATTCCTATCCCTGTGTGGCCAACCCTCTGTTTCAAATCCCCTCTGTTGCAAATACCTATGGTGTCTGTCGTCCTGACTGAACTCTGACTGATATGCCTGCTATACTGAATATCCTCTCCTTAGATGCCTCTGAGAGGGCCCAGTAACCCTACAAGAAGTTTCCCTTCTTAAGCTAGTTTTGGGGGTGTCTTTTCCTTGCAATGAAACCATCTATGATTAAGGCCTAGGGTTCATAAATATCTTGCCTGCATCCACACACATTCCATCCCTACTTCCCGACATGAAGAGGGTGAGGGATGGTTCCCACATGCTCTGAATCCTACCCATTCTTCTTCTTCTCCTCCCCCTCCTCCTCTGCCTACCTCCTCCCCTTCTCCTCCTTCACCACCACCACCACCATCATCACCATCTTATATAATACTCACTATGTGCCAGGCATTTTACATACATTAATTTACTTATCCTCATAATTAAATGAGGGAGAAACCATTATTATCCCTATTTTAAAGATGAGAAAACATGCCCAGAGAGATTAAGTGACTTGCACATGGCAACATAGCTAGTTAGTAGCATGGCAGAGATTCAAACCTACGTAGTCTGGTTCCAAGGCCCAGGCATGTTGATTCAGTCCACATTTATTGGGCAATTACTTTGTGTCAGGTCCTGTTTTGATATTGAGGCTACAGGGCCAACAAATGAATGTCCTCAGCCCCACTAAACCATCTCTCCCACATCGCCATCCTCTCTCTCACTGGCAACGTTGTCTATCTCATCTTTCCCACCAAAAATGAAACCAAAAAAAAAACCCCACTTCCCGTAACCCCTCCACCTCCTCAAACTATGAATCTTTGTTTGTGGGTTCATCCATAATTCCAGAGACAAAAGGAGAGCCAGAACATGGGACCATGCTACTATCTTTTCAGCATCTCCATCCAGTAGAATATGCCCAAGTCTCGCCCATCTTAAATATATATATATATATCTCACTCTCACTCCCCTGCTCCTATTCCAGTCCTGCCTTTCTTGGCCCTTCATCAACAAACTTCTTGAAGCAAATGTCTGTATCATTTCTACTTCCACACCTCATACTCAATCCATGGCTCTCTGAAATCAGGCATTGACCCCCTAGTGCCCCAGAAATTAGAACCCACATTCTTCTCAGCCCCTCCTTTCTTTTTTACCTCCAAAGTTTTGGAAAGTGTTATCTACACTCTGCCTACACTCCCCTCTTCTTGTAAACCATTTGGGTCCCACATTATGGCACCTGCCCCACTGATCCTTTGAAATTGCCCTCACCGAAGGTATTAACACCTCCCTGCCCTTAAATCCAGAGGATACATCTCAAGTTTGAGAAGTTTGTCCATGCTCTCTTTGCAGAGACTTTTCCTGGCTCTCTCCCAACACTGGCCCAGGTATCTCCCTTCCTCTCCCACTCCCCAGAGCCATGGGGCACTCTGGGAAGCTGGTACCAAGGGTGCTGGAGGAAGCTTCCTGGGGACCCACACCTTTCCAGACTTGCCCCCTGAAGACAAAATCAACCAGAAAGCAGGTCATCTAGGCATACTTAGGTGAGTAGTCAGCATGTCTGTTTGATGGACCAGTCTGGAGTTTAAAGATAGGGGCAGAACTTGACTATCTCAATCATGGAAAAGCAAGTGATGTCTTCAGACTTGTAGCTGACTAGGACTCAGAAAGAGGTAGCTTGTCCCTTCCTACCTAAGGACTCGGCCAAATACTTTACTTTCTGGAAATTGAAACACAACTGCTCAAGCCAAGAAAGCTTCTATGCATGGAAAGGAGGACCAAATAAATTTTAAAAAAGTAAAAGAGAGAATGAAAGAAGAAAAAGAACAGGAAACAAGAGATACACAGTAGAGAGGGAATATTCATCAAATCTGTCCACTGTCTTTAGTCATCATAACCTTCCCCTTGGGAATCCCAGCTGTTGTCAACACTATGAAGACTGGGCACTGTCACCACTGCCCAAGACCTAACCTCCAGAATATACAACCCATTCCCCACTCCTATATTTATTTCTGCCCAGAAATGAGCACTGAAGGTGGAAGATGTCCCGGCTTTGTTACCTTCATGGAGATCCTGAATAGTACTCTCAATTCATTCTATAAAGCCACACATTCTTTCCATCATCATCTCCCAATAGATCAAGAAACACACAGCAAGGACTTATTCAGGTCAAATGCTTTTCCTGAGTTTATCTGCTATTACATGCACATAAATACACCTTCTATGTTCATTCAGTCTCTTGTTTGTTAGGTGACCCTCCAGCCAAGGGACCCACCAGCTAAAGAGCACTGCAGTCAAAGGATTCACCTGATGAGGGATACCTGAGCTCAGAAATACAGAACCCAGACAAGGTACCATATCAAAGCCACCTCAGACAAAAGATTCACTAGTCAAGAGGACCTTACCCCCAATCCAAGGTTCCCACCATCCATGGGACCTGCCAGAAACCAATCTGCATTCTTCATCCCACCCAACCATGAGTTCTGTCTCCCCTCACCTCATATGTTTTGCTCTGGAATATCCACCTTGCCCCTTAAAATGCTCTGAGCTAATTATTCATTCTGTCAAGCAGAACACCACGCACTAGCTACCAATACAAGGAGGGACTCCAAATACGTGGAGGGTAGCAAAGATCATCACAATGCCAACCACTAGAAATAGAAGTCCAAACACTTCTGCACACTGCATCTTGGTCTCAGAGTTGCCAAGGAAGATACAACACAGTCCAGCACTGGATGAGACACTTTTACTCACATAAAGAAGAGACAGAGCAGGATCAGCTCCAACAGTGGGTGTCTGGGTAGCAGGTGCAATCGGCCTTTATGAACTCCTCTTGCACCACAGCAGAAAGACCCTGATCCCTCCTTCATGGAGTCTGAAATACTAAAAGCTGGGGTTGGGCCTCAGGGCACAGGCACTTAAGCGGAACAAAGGAATACACAATGAGCCTGAAATAGAGAAAGATATTCCCACAGGAGGTGATGAACCCTGAAGGCTGTGTGGGCTTTTTAGCTCTTGGTCAAAAAGTATTCCAGGCCCAAGGGCCCTTCTTCTGTGGCAAGCGGAGGTTGAAAGACTATGCACACGAAGACAGTCCCTGAAGACTTTCCTGACCCCTGGAGTATGTCCCTTTCTGCTGTTCTTGGTGCTTCTAGGTCCACGCCTGTGCTTCAATACAGTTGTGTCCTTGACAAATCACCTTGGAATCTATATTTGGGGACTACACTGTGTCATCTCCTACCCACTTACAAGTCTCTACAGATTGGCTCCTCACATCCTCCACTCCCCTAAAACAACCAGCAAAGGGAACTATCAGCTAAAACCCAGTGGCATTAGCATCCATTGATAGTTCTTCCCTGAGTCAGTAATTACTATGGTGCTTGAAATAGCTGCTAGTAAAAAAAAAAAGAAAGAAAGAAATAGCTGCTAGTTTTCTAATCATGCATAACAAATGCCCTCAGACTTAGTTATTAACTCACAGTTCTGTAGATCAGAATGTCTAGGTTCTCTAGAACACTCAGAATCTCACAAGGCCAAAATCCAGGTAGGTGTTGGCCAGTCTGTATTCTCATTTGGAGCTAGGATCCTCTTCCAAACAAATACAGTTATGACAGAATTCAGATCCTTGCTCTTAAAGATATAAAATAGGTCCTGTTTCCTTGCTGGCTGTCAGTTGGGAGCCACTTCAGCTAGGGGCTGCCTGCATTCCTTGACATGTGGCCTCCTCCATCTTCAAGATAGCAATGGAGAATCTCCCTTGACTGCACTCCATCACATGCCTTGAATCATTTTTGCCAGTAAGACCCAGTCCTTTTTAAGAACTCACTGGATTACAGTTGTCCCATGGAGGATATTTTCCCTGTCTTAAATTTAACTGATTGGGGAACTTAACTACAAGTACCAAATCCCTCCACAGCAGCACATAGATTAATACTTGAATGAATAACAGGGAAAAGGTGTGTGTACACCAGGGAGCAGGACTCTTGGGGCCATCTTAGAATTCTGCCTACCACCATGGTGATTTCCCATTTCCATCATTCCATCTACACTTATTAGATGGCATTCTACTTTAAGAAAGACCTTCTAGGGTGCCTGGGTGGCTCAGTCGTTAAGTGTCTGCCTTCGGCTCAGGTCAAGATCCCAGGGTCCTGGGACCAAGCCCCGCATCGGGCTCTCTGCTCAGCGGGGAGCCTGCTTCTCCCTCTCCCACTCCCCTGCTTGTGTTCCCTTTCTCGCTGTGTCTCTCTCTGTCAAATAAATAAAATCTTAAAAAAAAAAAAAAAAAACACCTTCCTATTTTTCACCTTCTTTCTCTCTCTTTTGGTCAGTATGGACTAAAGAATTCTTTTCTTTTTTTTTTTTTTAAGATTTTATTTATTTATTTGAGAGAGAGAGAATGAGAGACAGAGAGCACGAGAGGGAAGAGGGTCAGAGGGAGAAGCAGGCTCCCCGCCGAGCAGGGAGCCCGATGCGGGACTCGATCCTGGGACTCCAGGATCATGACCTGAGCCGAAGGCAGTCGCTTAACCAACTGAGCCACCCAGGCGCCTCTAAAGAATTCTTTTCTAATTCAATATTTTACAATCTATTATTGACATTATTCCTTTTCCTTCCTTCCTGATTGTAAATCTCCTCGTTTTCTTACTGAGCTTGTCTACTTCCTCTCTCCCACCATTCTCTGAGAGGCGACTCTGGTACAGCCCTCCTGTGAGGCATGCAGATAGGGGTCTGCAGCAAGGAGGAGCCAGGATCAGATCTTACAATGGCTCCCAACCAATCCCTATCAGGGCGGGTGGAGTCAATGTCCTGATAGAGGATGGAACCTGGCTCCAAGCTCAGAGTCCCGGAGAACGAGGGAACCGTGTGACCACGCCCCCTTATGCAGACAGCCAATCAGGACTTGAGGTGCTGGTTTCTCCATTGTGAAGAAGTGCCTTTAACCGTTGGAGTCTTGGGTTAGAACAAGGGGAGGTATAGTGGGTTTGGCTCTCTGTTTTCAAGACACTCGGGATCTGTCTTTGTTTGGGTGGAAAGATCATGCCCCCAAAACCCGCCCCAGCCGATGCAGGCGCCCCACCGGCTGCAGAGGCCCCACCGGCTGCAGGGGACCCGCCGGCTGCAGGGGCTCCACCGGCTGCAGGGGCTCCACCGGCTGCAGGGGCTCCACCGGCTGCAGGGGCTCCACCCGCTGCAGGGGCCCCACCCGCTGCAGGGGCCCCACCCGCTGCAGGGGCCCCACCCGCTGCAGGGGCCCCTGAGAAGCCGCCAGAGGAAACACAGACACCTGAAGAACTGGCATTTTATGCCCCGAATTACCTATGTTTGACCATCCTGGCTGTAATTCTTTTCCCTCCCCTGGGATTAATAGCTGTATTCTTCAGTTACAAGGTAAAACAATACCTGTGCCATGGCCCATCCTGCCCTCTACCAGCCCCTTGCACCTGCTTCCGTCCTGGGACCCGGGTAGGGGTTTCCCCTCAGTGACCATTGGTCTCCAGCCCTTCCCCAAGGGTGTCACAAGGCTGGACTCAGGAGCCCACATCTAAAGCTCCCGTCCCTACAGACCTCGCAGGCCAACAAGAACAGCCAATGGGAAGAGGCTTACATCAACTCAGGTCGAACTGGTTGGCTGGATGTATTCGCCATACTCATCGGTTTAGGCATCATTTATGCCTATGTCCTATTTATGTGAAAGTCAGGCCAAGTAGTCCATGGGTCCACCCCAAATAGGACCCACCCACCAAGACACTAACCAGCCAAATCAGCCACCATGCAAGAAGCCAACAGCTGAGACATCTTCTAGCCAAGAAACCTATCAGCCAAGGAACTCAACATCCAAGCAACCCACTAGCCTAAGGACATCATACTACTTCATCCTCTTGGCCTCCAGAACCATCTTCATCCACCTTGGGGGTCCTCACTTTCATGCCCTGGATGTGCTTAGCTCCTTGATACTGGGCTGCTCTTTCAGAAAAATATTTATTTAAACCAATAAAAATGAAGGGAATGTTCCGGCTTTTCATGTGTATGCATGTGTGTGTGTGTTTCTGAGCTAGCATCTGTGTTTTGCTGGGGCTGTGTTTCCTATCCCTGCTTTTTCTAGGAAAACAGAAATTTCCAGCTTTTGAGATCCCCAAATCAAACTGTTAGGGGGGAAATGGAAAGACTTCAAGAAATAAACAATAGATTTAGTGGAAGAGCTGATGAAGACCACCTCTCTCCCAATCAAAGGTAAATGGTCCCTATTCATGGAATAGGGGAAGTGGAGAAAGAGAGATTAGATGCAAGTATATCCCTAAGGAGGTCCCTGAGGCCTGTGTCTCAGGAAGGGGTGAGGTGTCAAAGATCCCAGATACCACTTGCATTACCTCCTCACAAATAAGTCCTACAGAGGCTCCAAGATCACAAAGAAAATATGCTGCATGGTGTGGAGGTCTAGGAAGAAACGGCCTTAGACAGCCGAGTAGGATAGCCCATATCTCAGCTTGGTGAAAAGGAGGTGGAGGCTACAGGAATGCCAAGTGCCAGGGTGGGAGTGACTATCAGAGGGGAGCCAGGGATAACACGGGAGCCATCGAGAATGAAGGAAAACAGAAATCTAGGCTGACACCATGGACAACAAACACCCAGGGATTCTTACTGGTACCTTAACTTCATGAACAAACCCAAATTCGGACCCAGAAACCCTAGATTTAGCAGAATTAAGTTTCCATAGCCAGGAGAATGGGGATTAAAAGAAAAAGAAGTTGAGTAGCTGTGGAAAAGACTGCTAACTCTAACAAAGCTAAATTTTTCTTCCTGGGAGCACTACTCAGCCACATGTCCTAGGTTCCCCTGTGTGGCCATGAGACTGTCTTTGGCTCTATGGAATATGATCAGAAGTGATTGCCACAAACCACCCTGGTCTTTAAATACCCCATGGGCACTCTCTTCCATACTCTTCCTCCCCTAGCTGACTGGCCAAGTGACACACATGGTGATTTGAAGGCCACATGTCATAGAGAGGAAGAACTCCCAACAGCCTTGGTCTCTGAACTACTCTAGGAACAGTCACTCTTTCCCCAACTGCCTCCCATGGTTGAGCAGAAAATATGTGTTGCGCCATCATGTGTCTGGTCTATCTATTCCATAACTCAAACCACCCTAACCAGTGAAGATGCAGGAAAGCAGAGTTACATTTCTCAGACATCTGGGGTTGTTACTTGAAATTCATGCCCAACAGACAGACCCATCTTGTTGGGCAGTTTATAGGAAATAATGAGTGAAGGAAACAACAAAGAAAGGTCTTAGTCCAGAGTTAACCTTAATCTTAGCTGACATGATGCTGTGTCTCCTCCATGACCCTGGGTATCTATGTGGATTACACGTGCCTATGGGACAATGCTCCATGTTATGAGTGTATCTGGAGAGGGGATTATGCTGGGTTGTCTGCTGTGTTAGTGGGTCTAGAGGGTCAGTCAACCCTGTCCCTCCCCAGACCAGCCCAGAAAGCTGGGCCTGTCACATTCAGCTGCAAAGCCATGTGGAGTCAGATGTCAGCATGAACAGCCAGGTCCAAAAAAGTCACATTGTGCTAGGAAACTTTGAAAGCCAGGCAATCTTCTCCATTTTAGCTCTCTGACTCCTCCTAACCTGTATTCCACTCTCAGGCATTCATATGGTTTTTACCACCACGTAAATATAAAACCAAACAAAATTTATAGTCCTGTATCTTGAAACATCATCAGTTGAATTACTATAATGAAACATGCAGATTTAACAATTTTACCCACTCTTCTCTCTCCCCACTACTAAAGATCACAATTTTTAACTCAAATTATAGGCTTTGCATTTCATTATGCCTGTATAAGTCTGCTCCATTATTGGGCCATGATGTTGATTACATACTCTTGCTGGACTAATATTTTAACTCAGCAGCCAAGGAACCCATTTACCTGCAATCCTTCAGATTTTTCTTCCTTTTCTTTTTCCTCTCCCTCTCCTCCATCGCCTTCTCCTCCACATTCTGCCCCTCCTGTCCCTCGTCCTCCTGCTCATCCTCATCTTCCTCTACTGTTTGTTTTATTTGCTCAGTTATCTATGTGGCTCTTCACTAATTGTTTCCATTTCTCCAGAAGAATTCCCCACAGTCAAGTAGGTAAGGTAACTTTTTTTTTTAAGATTTTATTTATTTATTTGAGAGAGAGAGGTAGTGAGAGAAAGCATGAGCAGGGAGGAGAGAGAGAAGCAGGTTCCCTGCCAGCAGGGAGCCCAACTTGGGGCTCGATCCCAGGACCCTGAGATCATGACCTGAGTCGAAGGCAGACGTTTAACCAACTGACCCACCCAGGCACCCCAGGTCAGGTAACTTTTCAATTCTCTTTTTCCCTTGGGTCTTGAAACCTGTTTATTTCTTTATTTGGGATTTTTAATTTACACAACATTCACATAAATACATCCTCATAAAGAATCAAGTAATACAAAGAGTATGGAGGAGCTCACCTCATGGCTGGTCAAGATATCATTTTCCCCCTCTTGAAGGTATTTGCTGTCAATATTTTGTCGTAACTCTTTCTAGTTACCTTTCTGTGCATTGCATCTACACACATTGACATCACACGGTTTTTCTGCTTACCACTAGGTGGTAAGCACCTAGTGATTATCCTTCCCTGTTAGTACTGAAGATCTTCAACACTGAATGCCCTGTATTCCACTTCTACATAATCTCCCTCTGTCCTCTTCTGGTCCAAAGGGTACATTCCCATGTTCTCAGACCTGCCTTTCCTCCTTCAATGATAGCTCATGGGATTCCAGCCCCTGGAATGAACCTGCAGGCCCTTCTGTGTCCTGTGAGGATAAGGATATCCTGAGCAGGACAAGGAGAGTATCACTAGAATAAGCAGCTGCAGGAGAGCAAATTTTTCTACACCATGAACTAGCTTGGCAAATTTTATTTCTGACCCTTGAAAACTTAACAAACTTTAGGACACTAAGACTGTGACATTATTACCATGTCCTATTATTGTGATTCTTACAGTCTTCAATTCTGATGACTCATTTATTGTATCATCCTTGTGACAATACTTAAACTGATGTCCTTATTTTCTGGAAGAAAGACATACTTTTGAATTTTCTTTGTTAAATCGGAAGGAGATTACTAGCATGAAACCCATGGATGTGTAGATTCAAAAGAGAAAAACAATACTTCCCCACTCAAAAAACACTCTCCAATAACCCATGATAGAACTGGATTTCTTATTTAAATGAAGAGTTTGAGAATCTGAGTCTCATTTAAATCAAAGTACACTGGGTCTCTAATTTTAAAAATGTTTTTATTGAAGGGCATAAGTGTACAACTCTTATGTGTATACCAATGAACTTCCACAAACTTTCACAAAACACACATCTAAGTAACCTGCTCCTGAAACAAGACACAGACTAGAAGACCTCTGTGCCCTCTTCCGTCACTTACCCACAAAAGATAACCCCTACCCTAACCTTCTCTCCTTTTTTTTTTTTTAAGATTCTATTTATTTATTTGTGAGAGAGAGAGCATGAGCAGAGACAGAGGGAGAAACAGGCTCCCCGCTGAGCAAGGAGCCTGATGCAGGGCTTGATCCCAGGACCCTGGAATCATGACCTGAGCCAAAGGCAGACACTTAACCAACTGAGCCACCCAGGCATCCCCTTCTCTCCCTTTTTAAAATAACTGCCTGGTGGGCTACATCAGGGATTGCCAATTTTACTATCAGGACCTTCCTGTTGATCTAAAGATTATTCCTATCTTCTGGCTGCCACAAACAATTCTGCAAAGAAATCCATGAGCTTGCTTCTCTGTTCACATGAGCAAGTACTTCTCTAGGATAGAGTACAAGAAGTGGGATTGCAGGGTTGAAGCATAAAGGGCTTTGGACGCTTCAATGGCTAACACCACGATGACTTCTGCAAAGGCTTCATCAAATCACACTCCCAGCCCCAGTGTATGAAAGAATCACTCTTTGCCTCCTTGGCAGCACACGATATCATCAATCCTATGAATTCCTGTCAATTTGATGAGTGAGAAGTGATAGCTCCTTATTGCTTTAATTTGTGTTTCTCTGATGAGTAGTGAACTTGAGCATTGCTATGGACTGAATTGTGTCCCTCCAAAACTGATACCTTTCTTTATTAATTTTTTTTAATTGCAGCATAGTTAACATATAGTGTTATATTAGTTACAGGTGTACAATACAGTGATTCAACAATTCTATACATGACTCAGTGATCATCATGGTAAGGGTACTCTTAATCCCCATCACCTATTTCACTCATCCCCCCATCCACCTCTCCTCTGCTAATCACCAGTTTGTTCTCTATAGTTCAGAATCTGTTTCTTGGTTTGTCTCTCTCTCTCTTTTTTTTTTCTTTGCTCATTTGTTTTGTTTCTTAAATTCCACATATGAGTGAAATCATACGGTATTTGTCTTTCTCTGACTTATTTCACCTAGCACAATACTCTCTAGCTCCATCCACGTTGTTGCAAATGGCAAGATTTCATTTTTTTATGGCTGAATAATATTCCAGTATATGTGTGTGTGCTATATATATACCACATCTTCTTTATTTCTTTATCCATTTATCTATCAATAAGCACTTGGGTTGCTTCCATAATTTGGTTATTGTAAATAATGCTGCAAAAAACACAGATGTGCATGGAGCCCTTTAAATTAGAGT